AAAAAAAAAAAAAAAAAAAAAAAAAAAAAAAAAAAAAAAAAAAAAAAAAAAAAAAAAAAGAAAAAAAAGGAAAAGAAAAGAAAAGATAGGGTAGAGATAAGAAACTGAAATCAGAGGTAAGAAAGATCAAGTCTAGCTAGATTTTTGTATTCTAGAAATTCAAGTGTTATAACCTAGTGGTTATGGACACAGGCCGTTCAGTCAGATAGACCTAAGTTTAAATAGAAGTCCAACCTGTTACTTTCCTGGTTACTTACACCAAATTTTTTGAGCTACTGTTTCTTCTTTGTTTATAAATGAGGATAATAAAGAAGATTAAAGGATAACATGTTTATGTGCGTGTATCTATATGTATGTGTAAGTATGTATATATGGCATCAAGATATGGGCAGCAAGTCCTTCTTTGAAGAGGGATCTTCAAGCTGCTGTGGTCCTTCCTTCATTTCTTCAGGGTCACCATTCTGTGGGAGACTAAACACAAGATGGTGTGAAGAAGTCTAAGTCGGCGGTCCCCAACCTTTTTGGCACTAGGGACCAGTTTCAGGGAAGACAATTTTCCACAGATGTGGCAGATGTGGGGAGTGGGGTAGTTGTTTGGGGATGATTCAAGTGTATTACATTTATTGTGTACTTTATTTATATGATTACATTGTAATGTATAATGAAATAATTATACAACTCACCATAATGGAGAATCAGTGAGAGCCCTGAGCTTGTTTTCCTGCAAATAGACAGTCCCATATTGGGGATGATGGCAGGCAGTGACAGATCATCAAGCATTATATTCTTATAACAAGTGCTCAGCCTAGATCCCTCGTATGTCCAGTTCACAATAAGGTTCACACTCTTATGAGAATCTAATGCCACAGCTGATCTGAGAGGAGATGGAGCTCAGGTGATAACTTGAGTGACGGGTAGTAGCTGGGAGGGGCTGTAAATACAGATGAAGCTTCCCTGGCTTGCCTGCCCCTCATTTCCTGCTGTGTGGCCTGGGGTTTGGGGACTCCTGATCTAAGTGACATCAAGTGAAAGGTTTCTTAGGCCTCTCTTTTCTGAAATGGGCTTCCAAGCAAACCTCATATAGAGGTTTGCTCTATATGAGGCCAATCAGAGATTCCTGGCTTCAGAGAACTTCCCTGCATTTACAATCCACACTATTTCATCATGACAGCCCAGAAATACTATGGATCCCTTCCACAATATACATTAGTCCACATTTACAATTACATGCCAATAGCTGTATAGGCACTGAGATAGTTACAAAGACAAAATATGCTACTTTCCTTTGAGATACTCAAGGTATACTATGAAACGAAGATGGAAAAGCAGATAATCACCTTACGGTGTACTAAGTACTTTAATGGAGATGTGAGCAATGTCACAGGTGCCCAGAGGAAGGAAAAACTAACTCTCCCTTTTAGGGGTGGGGGAGGGTGCAGGGGAATAGGTTCAGAAGAGGCAATAGCTGCACTCTTGAAAGCAGAGTAAGAATTTACGATGATTCTTCTGATAGTGGTTTTGATTAAAAAAAAAAAAAAAAAGAATTTACCATGAAAGGAATAGGGAGGTTTTTTTGGCCAGAGGTTCCCAAAGAGCACAGACTATAACCAAGCTATCTTCCTGACTGATGCCCCAGTTTCATCTCTCTGAATCTAAGACCTTTGACCTTTTACAACTTTGGGCTCTAGACTCTCCAACCTGGGGACCCACCCATGGAGCTGATATCCAAATCTCTTTGATGGGTATACAGTGATCCACAGGCCAGGGCCTTGCAAATGAATCTCATGGAAGAAGATTTTTTTATGACTCAAAATAAGACCTCCTAAAAAGCACTGAACTCTCCAAAGTATGATCATCTATTCAACAAATATTTATTATTACCTTTCAGGGTAGGCAGCAACAATTATACCCCACAACCATATGAATGGCACACACCAGAGCTGTGCAGTGTACAATCAACCCAATATCCATGGCAAGCTTGATAAGTACCATGCACTGCCATAGAAGTTGGGGTTACAACAATGAACAAAGACAAAGTCTCTGGAATATAGAACCTGCCACCTAGGGAGACAGACAATAATATTAATGCAAGGTGATAAGTGCTGTCTATGATAAGCACTGTACAGGGGAGGAGCACTTAGGCTGCACTTGAGTGTCAGGAAAGGATTTTTAGAACAGGTAGCTTTTAAGTAAAACTTGAAGGATAAGCAGGAGTTAGGATAAAACAAGGTATAGGCAGAGAAAGAGCCAGAGAGAATTTTAAAGTAGAGCTTGAAGATCAGGGTGGCAAGAGATGAGCTTGGAGAAACAGGCAAGGCTGGCTGGCTGGGTGTGGTGGCTCACGCCTGTAATCCAGCACTTTGGGAGGCCAAGAAGGGTGGATCACCTGAGGTTAGAAGTTCGAAACCAGTCTGGTCAACATGGTGAAACCCTATCTCTAAAAAAATAAAATAAAACAATAAAAAAAGAGAAACAGGCAAGGCTTAGGAAGGGGATGCTAGGCACTGTGGAAAGGGTTAGCATATAGCAGTGGACAAGGCCAACAAAACTCTGCTCATGGAGATTATAGTCTACTGGGAGGAGGGAATCATTAGACTAATAGTCACAAAGTAAATATAAGATTACAAATGGCGGGGCGCAGTTGCTCATGCCTGTAATCCCAGCACTTTGGGAGGCCGAGGCGGGTAGATCACGAGGTCAAGAGATCAAGACCATCCTGGTCAACATGGTGAAACCCCGTCTCTACTAAAAACTACAAAAAATTAGCTGGGCATGGTGGTGCGTGCCTGTAATCCCAGCTACTCAGGAGGCTGAGGCAGGAGAATTGCCTGAACCCAGGAGGCGGAGGTTGCGGTGA